AATATCAAACTAGGAAAGTAACTGATTTATTCTGATTTGGCCAGTGACTCTGTGTAGTTTAGCCAAATCATTAAAATTGCCTGGGCCCAGTTTTCTCAACTGACAAGTGAGATTGGATGAGATCAATTCAGAGGTTTCTTTCTGCATTCACATTGATGGTGCTCCTTATTCCAAACCACAGTGGTGCAACTCTGCTGTGGTGTGCAATGCATGATTGATGTGGCCAGCACTGTCCAAGAACTGATAAAATTATTTGGGTAACTTTCAGGTATGAAGATGCATACCCTATTGAAATATTCAATTTGAGTGATGTGCATTAATCAGCTATTATATGCTAAGTATATATGTGCTGGATCCCGTGGGCAATTATTGAACCAGATGGTTTCCACAAGAAAATGAATCACATGCAATTGGAATTGCCTTGGATTTTGAAATTTTATTAACAAGAGAAAGAAATTAAACAGATATATAGACAGATTAATGATAGACAAAACCTTCTTTACACTTTGTGTAGTTTAATATTAATCCTCTCTCCCATTAGGAAAAATGTCATCAATACTGGCCAGCAGAACGGTCCGCAAGATACCAGTACTTTGTTGTAGATCCTATGGCTGAGTATAACATGCCACAGTATATCCTGAGGGAATTCAAGGTCACAGATGCCCGGGTGAGTTGGCATCATCTTCAGTTCTTAATGATTAGTTGAAAAGTAGCCTAAAATATACCTATCTCAGGGAAACATTTGCCAAGTGACCATAATCCCAAGGAGAAAAGAAATCACATCCCGGGGGACTTTTTTTTCTTAATGTAAGAGTAACTTTTCCTCTGTCTGGCAAGCATTCTCACAAACCCAGGTTTGGCTTCCATTCAAACATAACATCTGGCAGCCCAACTTTGGAGATGCGCTTGGTGTGTGTTTGTGCTGGGAAGCATTTACTGATGGGTTGGCCGTGCTGACATTCACCTTCTCAGCTCATTCTCTTTGGAGCTTCTTTGACTTCTTCATTACTTGAGGCTGTAAATATGTTGTTGTTTTGCAAAGCCCTTTAGGTCATTTGGGCTTGGAGGTTAATTTGGTGTGATTTTAAAACTGCAGAGCAAATGGCATTCTTTAGAAGAATCTGACAAGCTTTGCACATTCTAATTTGATTCTTGGCATGGTTTATTCCTTGGTGTGCTAATGTGTCTGTCCATGAGAGCTGTGCACCCATGACCCTTGCTGGCTAATTCTCATTCTGCATTTTTTATCTAGATTGCTGAGTCCAGAGTTCAGCCCTGATGTAAGATGTTCTATGCATAAACATTAATATCTTTGCCTTTGGCCACTTTCAAACCATGATTACAAACACATCTTAAGGGAGACCTGTTTTGTTTTTGGAACTGTCACAGTGGGTGGGTTGAATAATACTACAGGGTAGAGCTATTCACTTGATCCATTGTTTTTTCTGGAAAGCAGCTTTCTCCAAATTCATGTTTGGATATTATCTGGTAATCCCCGAAGCCTGGCTGTTGACCTGAAGTGAAAGAGAAATTGGTCAGCAGGAAGGTTGGCCCAAGTGACAGACCTGTTAATCCTAGACAGTCTGAAGGTTTAACTTCCCTGAAGGTGACTGTACTCAAGGCAGCAATTAAGTCCCTAGACCTAGTTTTTGAGTTGCCCAAGAAAGTATGCTTTAGTGACCCAGCCCATTGTTTAAAAAAAAGTCAGGCCCTTTCAGAATTTGAAGCTAGGTATGTGAATGAAAATGTTTTGTGTTCCAAGTATACTCACCACTTATTTCTGATGGTAAAGACTGGGAGTCAGGCTCCAGCAATGGCAAAGACATCTTTACTACTCCCCACATGCCAGGTTCAATCCAATCACAGTAAGCAAAAGAAAGACTGAAACAGGAATTTGCTCACATGTTTTAAAAAAGTCTCCCTGTGGTTGTGTAATTTTCTTAGCTACCACAGCACTTGCTGTTTGTACTCCTGGTGTGTTTCTAATCTCAACTTCCCAATTTAGAAAGAAAGTTGGCACTTGAGAATACATTATTGTTAAACAGATAACCTTCAAACGGAGTCAAATGATTTCTCCTGTAGATGGTAAGAGTTTGTGCTATGACCTCTTCTTGCTGTTAGGAGCAACTGTGGCCAGAAATGCAGTCCCCAGGACATTCAGAGGAGAACAAATCTGCATTGCCTAGCCTCTGGCTTTTTTTCTCCTGCTTTTCCAGAACTAGAGAGAAGTAAACCATGTTTCCATGGCAACCATCCTCAAGTTAGTTATGGGGCTAAGTAGTTATTTCTGTATTCCTCAAAGTTGATGTGATCTTCCTGTTTTACCACCATCCCAAAATGACATCAGTCAAGAATCTACTCTGTGCCTGAGGGCACAACCAGGCTAGCTGGTGTGTGCTTGTCTAGAGTCGAGCTACTTCCTCTTCTCAGTATGACTGAAGAGAAGGATGGAGTCTCTCTACTTACCTGGAAAATTTTGGATACGCCTGTATCCAGAAGAACTTTAAAGAAGTATTAACAAAAAATGGAGAAGAAGAATGAGTTGAAGTCTCTTCAAATGGAAGAGGCACATGGGATCAGCCCTTCTNAGACTCTTCTTGCATCTGGCTTGATTTCTTTCTGCCTTTTGGTGTGTCTGTGTTAAAGCCCCCCACAGCATTCTTAATTTCTGTGGTCAGCCAGGAAGAGTCATTTTTCAGAAAAGGGCATTTATTTGCTAATAATCTCTTTGGCCTCTTTGAGGGATGCTTCACTTCCTGCTTAACAGCACAGTCACATGGCACCTGCTGTGTCCCCTGCCATGGGTAGAAATTATATGCCTCTGAGACATGTGGGACATTCAGGTTAACAACAACTACCCGGTTTGTGTCAGATCTATTAAATGTCANAAAAAAAAAAAGAAACTTCAACAGCAGGAGTCTGTAAGTGAAAACTGTATACAGCTGAACTTCAGGCGTTTTCGCAGCCATTTAAAAAGATGTCTTCAGCAAACGCATCTAAGTTAGCTAAAAACGCTTGACATGATGGACACGTTGTATCCGTAGGCCAATATTCAATCCAGGTCAAGGAATCTAAAGGGTAGATGTACCTACCAAGAAGAAATGAAAACAAAGTGTTTGTGATGATGGTCACAGTAGGGAAAAGTGGTATTTGATTTCCTCTGTAAAAGCCCAGTCATGGTCAGGTCCCCAGGGGTCAGGGGCTGTGCTGGGGAAGGTTCACAGACCCTTGAAGGATTCTGAAGCTGCCTGGGGCTCCCACTGTTAAAAGCAGGAATGACATCTATCTCAATGTTTATTTTTTAAAAATAATAATAAAATAATATAATAAAATAATAAGATAACAAAATACATATTTAAACACTTTACAAACAGAACAGTCTGAGAACATATTAAGGGAGCCAGTGTGGTGGTGAAGGGAGGTTGGACAAACACTCACTCAGATGGCTTATCAGTCAGCTAAGTTCTCAGCTGCCTCGATGGTCTTAAATAATTCTTTGTTTTAAATTCATATTATTTCATTTATGTTCATAATGATTTGTTGGTTAATAGCAGGGTACATAAGAAACATATAGTGTATTTAAGAATAAATCATACTCTGTTTTGGAGGGAAGATCAGAGACTCTCAAATATTGGTGACTTACCTGAAACTGAAATTGTATTTTATCTGGAGGGCTTCTTTACCCATAATTAAATACTGTCTTCCTTTTACCAGGTCAGCATTAGTACAGGTCAATTTTTTAATAAAGGTGATTTCAGAGCCTTTCTCAGCAAGGGCTTCCCCTGAGAGACACACAGGTATGGTTATCACATTCATGTTTTAATGTCACAATTATAAACTCTCTCGAGCTTTCTGGTCCTCATGGCTGCTGAGAGGTTAATGGCTATTGGAGATCAGCAATATCCATATGGTTAAGATTTCAGACTCTGGAGTCAGACTGTCTGGGTTAATCCCAGTGAAGCCACTTTCTGGTGTGTGTCTCTGGGCACGTGATTTATGCTCTCTGTATAAGGGTGCACACCCCTCATCTGGAAAAACAGGCATGACAATAAAACCTAATTTGTAGAACTGTTGTGAGATTAAATGGGTTAACATATGAAAAGTGCTTAGAACATAGTAAGAACTAAATAAATGCTTGCTATTATGACTCTTGGAGACTCAGAATTAAAAGAACCTCTCTATAGTTGAACAATGTTAGTCTCCATATGTTGTATAGCAAAATATAAAAATATTTGGTAGCTGGCAACGGTCAACCTTGCGGAAAAGTATAAGGTGTGAAAGACTTGGAAAATTTTAAGAATAACTTTGGGACTCCAAAAGAACTCAGAATGCTTTCCTCGCCATGTTGGCCTGCTGAATTTCACCCATCTTTAAACCTGTCTTCAGTTCTCATGGTATCCAGTAAACATTCCTTATTGCTCTTTGTCACACATATCTTTCTGTTTCCCCTGTACTTCTTTTATACCTGAATCTCTATCACAATGTTTCACTCCACATGTCTGTCTCCATAGCCAGACTAGAAATTTATTGAGGCAGGGACTATTTCTGATTCATTGTTATATATTCAGAGCTGATATCCAATATTAGACGCTGGTAGAATCATCCTAATTGTTAAATCCTGAAAAACTTCTGAACCTGTTGGTAAATAGTATATAATAGTAACTGTGTAAATGGTAAACTTTCATTAGTAATATAAATTCTAGTGTACATGCATTAGTTCAAGCTAATTTCCTTAGGCTGTCCCAATGACATGGCTTCTTAATGCAACACCATCTGATAACTCTCCAGCTCTATCTGCCAGTTCCGCCCCTGTCATAGTAAACGGTGTGGCTGTGTGGGGCATTATTATTTTAAAAACTTTTTGTTATGGAAAATTTCAAGCACATTCAGAAAGAGAGAGAATAGCTCATTATCCCCAGCTTCAATAATCACTAATCTTTTTTTCATCTGTATTCTCACCTACTCTAAGCACCCTGTGCTTTAGGAGAAATACCAATTTATTATTATCCTCAAACTACATGGTTTGCCCTTGATTCTAAATGGTTTATTGTTAGTGTACAGCAAGTCTTATATAAGTAGTGTGTGGTGTTTTGATATTTACATAAATTCAAAATTTATAATAAGTATTTAAAAAGAACATCGAGAAGGAGGAGATAAGATATGCAAAAGTTTCTTAACATTTCCTTTTAAATATAATAAAAATTAATCTTGCAAATTTACCAGAGAACAAAGAAGAAATGATACTGATAAGAACTGCAGCTTGGGAATCATCTGATGCATGCAAGATTCAGAACAATCTGGAATGTCTTTTGATACTAAGCAAGAATCAGCACAAATTAAAACAAATAATTTGTATTTCCAGAATGAAAAGCACTTTACTATTTCAGTAAAAAAGGGAATGGCTTGTTATTGCTTGTGGTGTCAATGATGGATGCAAAGAGTGCCCCAAAGTTGGACTATGGGAAGATCAAAATGTTAAACTCTTGCCTCTTTCATCAGAGTAGCAGTCGGGGTTCAAATAAAAAAATTGTGAACATCAATGAGGAAAAAAACCCGACATCATAAGTCAGTTTCATATAGTAAAACATTTAAAATAATGAAGACTAGAAAAAAATTTTATCAGAGTATTGATAAAACAAAAAAATTTGGAAAGTATTATTAGAATTTTTAACTTGAGTATGGTTAAAAACAATCAAGCATTTTCAGAGTTACAATACTTCATAAGATTCCAAAAGAAAAATATATCAATATAGATATTATTGCAATTTAAATTTATGGTCCTACTTATTGCAAAATTTCTATCTACTGAAATGAGAAAACAACTTTTTGGAAGATAAAAATAAGGTAATAAGATAAATTTTAATTGTCATTGAATAAATCAACTATTTCATTGAAAAAGTGTTTTAAATAACTTAAAATGAAAAGTTGAAGACTCTGAAGATGGCCTATGGTTTTTGTTGATCTCAGGGTACTGGGAGGACCTGAACAACTTATCAAACTGTCTGGCTGAGGTGTGAGGAAAAAGGATTCAATGAGAGGTGTCTACATGAACACTTTTATTTACTGTGTCTCCCCAAGTAGAATACAATCTTTATGAAGGCAGGAACCCTGGCTGACTTAGTCAAGTTGTATGCTCTGTGTCTAAGACTCATATAATACCTGGCACACAGTAAGGACTAAATGTTTGTTGAATGAAAGAATGACTCGATGATTTCTCACCAGTTTTGTAGATATCC